AAGAAGCTAACCACGATGCGGCAGCACAGGAGGATGAAGACGAAGCGGAGGAAGTTCCGGGAGAAGATGACGACATGGACACGCAAGGATATACATCCGGCTATGCGTCAGAAGAAGAAGACAGCGGTTGGCATTACCGCGACACCGATCTGGCGTCACGGGACATTATAAGTTCCCAACGGATGGCGATCTGCCTTGACGAGCCGCGTGAGGCTCAGTACATGGCAGGATTTATCGCACTCCAGCTGTCCAAGATGTGGGGGATGTTTGAAGGTGGTGAGGAGAGAACGATGAATGCCGGACTCGAAGGGAATCCGGGCTGCCCTTACCACAATGACTTCAAGAGGTACCCCAACATCACTGAGCATGATCAGGAAGGTATACTTTTGCCATCAACAATAACGAAGATTTCTCAATCGGAGAATGTTCGGACAAGAGCCTTCCGATCGGTTGAGGAGCGTGACGAATATATTCGTATGATGGTGAACAAATGCGAGGGACTATACACATTCTACAAGCTGTGGATTGCAGCAAGAATCCTCGATGTCACCAAGGAAGAAATGAAGCTCCTGGTCAAGGACCGAGTGCACCCGGTGGGTGATATTATTTTCAGATGTTTTGCACTAGCTTTCAACTGTAAGTATATATCATTCGTGAGGGATGGCCTAAACCTTGGCAAGAATGGTTACACGGTCAACGTGAGCGCCATCATCTCGGCCATCGACCCGAACAAATGCGACACACCCCTGCTGGATTGGTGCCTTCGGAAAGGGCACTGGTTGCCAGAGGACTACAACAAGAAGTGTGTCCGGGCACGAGAAGCCCAGAAGAACTTGGACGAGGAGTTCCGCCGACGTACCCATAGGCTGTCCATTGGGGACAGGTATGCTTCGTGAAGATGATGATTGCGGTACGATGTGGGTCAGTCCCCATCTGTTACTTGCGTCACATCGACACTGTTTCGGTGGAACGACTTATGTCATGATTTATATTCATGTGTCCAAGATGATTGGGTGTGTACATGGTTACATATTCCGATGACTATGACGCTCTGGATATTCATGGATGGAACTATTACCTTATAGATGATATCTTTTCATTATTTATGCATTGTCCATGGTATCTGGAATGGCTATGATTTGCATTGATTACTCACCGATGTTTCTTTGCCGGAGATATGCAGACCGATCACAAGCGGGCGCGTCTGGTGGACTTTTGTGGCCAACCCATTTATGGATGACAGCTGCGCGATGCGCAAATGCGGCAGCTGGAATGTTCACTGGCGGTCAAGTGAAGTGGCCACAGTGTATATATACACCTGCATATGGATGTGTGCTTCGATTGGAGGATGAATGTTTCACTTTTCGTACAATCGAACCCGGCATGTTTCACAGCGAATGAACGGTGTAGTGATAGCAAGTAAAAGAATGCACGACACGATTTCGTAGTTGAAGCCGTGGCCAGTGGAACGTTTTGTGGTGTTTGGACCGCATGATGAACAATGCGACCCAAATGGGGGATGTTAAAACCCTCTAGGCCCCGTGCCGAAATTGGGTAGCTGTTCTGAGGTCCTTGTTGGTGTTGCTTCCCAAGTTCCATTGATCGCCATTTGGCTCAAGACACAATTGAGGTTCAAGATCTGATGTGTGACTGCATACCTACGTGATCGGCATTAGAGCGAAAACAACTTCGCTTGCGCTGCATTTGTCAGGACCACTGTTGTAACTATCATTCCTTCTTCCTTACAACGTTTACACGGGTTCGGCTATAACGGCATCGTCCGTATACACCTTTCTACGTGGTTGGTATTAAAGCTTGAGGGTTCGGTGCACAGCGTCCCACGGGACGTCACCTTGCCGTCTCTTGACAGGAAGGACGGAGACATCCTGGAGCCATCGGTCGATGGCTGACATCAGGAATCACATGGCGTCATCGGCGGGCTATGACGAAAAGAAGAGGTTGAGAGAGGCAATCGCCAAGGTGCAGAAGGCGATCAGCAAGGGCCGGTCGGAGCCTCCTCTCCCTATTTGTGATCCTTTCGTCTACGTTAATGACGATAAGGTGAGGACCTTCATTGGTAGCAAATCAGTGCATCATGCTGCGCAGAGCCCTGGTCCAAAGCAGGAGCCAGTTGTCAAGGGCGGAAAAGGAAAAGGGAAGAAAGGTGAAAAGGGTGGTAAGGGCAATAGTCCTTCCAACCCTCGGCCGAAGTCAGGTGAAGTGTCAGGAAAGGATCCGGCAAGGGCGATAGCCCCGCCGTTCCAAAGGCGAAGGCCAAAGCTGATGCTGGACCGACCCTGATGGAGGTTGATCAGCCTGAAGCTCAGCCGAAGAAGTTTTGGGTCGCGATAGCGGTCAAGGAGCTTGGCCAAGTGCAAAAGCTAAGACGACACCGTTCCCGAAGACCAGCAAGGTTCCGGCCCCAAAAGCGAAGCCGAAGGTGAAGGAGGCTCCAGCCCCGAAGGCTGGGAACGAGAAGCCGAGGACTGTTGAGGTCAAGAAGGAAAAGGGGAGTGGTGACGATGTTCCCGGCGACAGACTCGGTTGAGAAACCCAAGAGAGAGAGAGGAAATTCCGCTGGGATCCGGATGTGCCTACGAAGGAGTCGACGAAGCGGGAGGCATTGAAGAGGCCTGATGATGTGGACAGCAGGCCAGGTGCAGCGGCAAGAAGCAAGTGGAGATGATCTTCACTCCGCGCTTGGTAGGTCTTCGGCAAAGGACGCGGTAGCGCCCTTGACAGTTTGCAAGGCGATGGCAAAGAGGCCTGAAGGGAGTGAAGTCAGGCTGCGCTTGGCAGAGCGAGCTGCGAGCCCAGTTGAAGGTCACTTCAGGACGTTGCCGGAGGGCCCAAATGGTGGATGCGTTCCTGGCGATGTCCACCAACAGGGTGCTCGGTTAGTCTTAACCAGATCGTGGCGAACTCCCATGCGGAGCGGGCAGGACTGATGTCTCCCACACCTTTCCCGGAGGTCCGTTAGGACTCAGGACACCAGGGATTCTCGAGAGTTGAGGCGGCGCAGGTGTCGACCGCAAAGAGACGAAGATCGAGACGGAAGGAGAGATGATCGTCGGGATCATCGAGGTGATGAATCCGTTGATCGAGACCGGGATCGAAGGAGAGACCGCAGGAGGTCCGAGAGGGATCGTGATAGGGACCGCGCGCGGGGCGGACGTGGCCGGAGGAGACGTGATGACAGCCGATAGGCTGATTCACGAGGGTTGCGGAGGCTTGCGCCCGTTCTCCGATGGTTGGCGGATGATCCTTCCGAACCAATGAGGCGCGGAGTTCATCTCCTGCACCGCTGCTCGGCTGCTGGTCGTGGACACCATGGAGTAGTGTGAGTGAGAGGGGGTGCAAACTGGTGGGGGATACTCCCAAGTTTGCGGAATTTGTGTGTTTTCAAGCGCGCATGGTCAGGGATACTTCTTGCCGATAGGCGAGGGTACCAATGGACATACGTTATTTTTTGTTTCATGGCTTCTGATAAGAATTGAACTACTTGCGTTGCTGATGCAAACAGTTGTGGCCTAGTGTTACCCCGGTTAATTCGGGGTGGTGGCGGGAATTTAATGCCCGGATGTCGCGCAACTGCCTTCGTGGGTTTGCTCCACAGCTGACGGCGGTAGTGTTTAGCTGTTCGCGGACGCGTTCGAGCAGGCTCCTCGTGAGGGGGGTGTGATTAGCCATGGTTTAATCCATCACCAGGGATGTCGCGATAGTGACTGACCGGTGGTGTTTGGCTCAAGTTTATGGGTTCCGTCGCGCCTCGGATGGGCTGCGTCGACCGACGACATCTCGGGGCTCGGGCCGCCGTCAGGTTGGTAGGGATTCGTGCGGCCTGTCGTCGATCTAGGTTGCGGGTTAACTCTTTTCTCTTTGGTTTCGAAATTCCCTCCCATCCCGCGCAGTTGGTGGTTGTGGTTTCGAAACTCCCCCCGCGTTGGCCGTGCAGTGGGCGTTAGCGGCGTTAGCCACCCTTCGCGAGGTCGGGTCTCTGAAGGCAGAGCTCGCCAAAGGTCTCCGTTACCTGGCTCCACTGCCCCTGCTGCAAACGTGTGGTGCTGACTGGGATTATCGCGGCGCTACTGACGTGGTCACTCATTTGACGCTGGATATCGAGGAGCTTGTACGCAACACTGACAAAAAACCACACTTTTTGGTGCTGGCTGCTCCTGGGCAAGTCGCGCTGTTTGCAGGAGCTGCCTGCATTTGTCAACTCCACTGAGGCCATTGGCCAAAGGCGGATGTTGTCGTTCCTGCTCACCTAGGCATTGTGGCCTCACGCATGCTCTGGCAGCTGTTGAGAGGGTCTTGCGCGCAGGCTTTACCTTCAGCGAGGGCTGTGGCAGAATCCTCCATTAGTGTGGATGATGTGCTGGAGGCAGTTTGGGCAGGCGAGGGGGAGGATTACTCCGCATGATGTGTGGCGAGCGCTGGATGGGATGGCTCTGCCCAGACACTGCGCAAAGTGTGCGAGCTCATAAACCGGTTGGAGGGTCCGCTGCTGATAGGCGCCGTGGCCGCCACAGTGCACTTGGGTACACAGCTGGTGTTGGCGGACAGCCCGCAGAGGTGCACGATGTACTGTAAGACGAGATGGGAAGCCAGTGTTCAACTGGCGTGGCAGAGCTTTTGCAAAATGACATGGGGGGCAAGGGCGCCCGAAGCATTGGAACAAGCAGTGGAACTGTCCGGCGCTGAACATCTTGATGTGATCCTGAGCACAGTAGCAACAAGGTTACGTGACAAGTATCCCGGCAGGTTTCGAGCCCATCCTCAGAACTGCCCTGTTTGGGAAGTGGTGTGAATTATCAGACCGGGTGGCTATGATCCAAAGATTCTGCAGTTGGTGAGGCTCGAGTACAGCCAAGATGGTTGATATAGACGATTGATTTTGCTTTACATCTGGATACACATGGCACTGACGAGGAAGCAAACTCCTTCAGATCTTGCAAAATGGAGTCTGGGCAATTATGCGGAGATAGGCAGAGGTCCAGATGAAGGAGGCCAGAGTTTTGAGAATTTACTCTCGTTTCCGAGCACTGAAGTCATGGGTCTGGGATGAAGGCGAGGTGGTAAGACTGAGCGATTTGCACCGGGGGGCGTTGCTTCAGCCAGCCGATCTGCAGGATGTGCGTGTTGTCAACATGCGACTGCAAGTGGCCAAAGCACAGAACTGGATGGCATCGAACGGAGCAGACTTTTTGCGCAGAAAGGGTCAGAGAGGAAGGACGTTTAAATCGCTTGATGGACACGAAGTGCAGATAAACGATGAGCAGAAGTTCCATTTCGTTGTTCTCAATGCCAGATGTGCGCCAGCAGCTGATGTTGCCACACTTCTGAAACTGGAGAGGGGGCCAGGCTTCGTGGCCGAGTGCATACAGGCAAACAAGGAGATGCAAAGGTCAATGCATTTATAATTGAGGAGGAGAGAGCAAAGAGCTGTGACGAAAAGGACTTCTTGCTTGTGTTATGTACAGTAGACAAAACTGACAAAACCCTGGTTCTTGAAGACATGATTGGCGTTGTACAGGAATCGCAGTCCTCCTGTACAAAAACATGGCTGCAAGCAGACCAAAGCAAGCAACAGATGGTTAAAAGAGCATTTCGACCGTATTGCAGGACGGTCGTTTTGGCAAATGTAATTTGGCCACCCCTTGGACGCACAGCCAAATGCCACGACGCAAAAGGCGCCATGCTTTTTCTTTCACTTAGGCCTCGCTGTGGAACTGGTTTTTCGTGGAGCTTCTTGCATATCGCATCCCAGGTCCTGAAATTGGCTTGTGCTCGTGCATTCGGTGCTTTCGGTCTGAAATCTGCATCGGCAGATGTCGCGGATCCATCCCGCAACGGTGCGCAGAGCGTGCTGTGCTAATCTTCCTTATGCAGTTCAGAACGAATGTATCAGCTTGATGCGCAAGCCGCAAGCCCCATGACTCCATGACACCGCATCAACAGGATACAAGGGTAGCAAGCCTGTGCATGGGATGTCCTAGTTTTGTACTCTGCAGTGTTTTGTTGTGGATCATGGGAAGGGTTGTTGCTCGCTTGCTTGCCGCAGGACTTGGGTAATTCGCTCCCGCATTTTATGATTCCACTTCAACGCAGCTTGTGGCTCAAACAAGAAATTTGAGAGTGGCTTCAAGCTACTCGGACGCTGCAGCCGAGCACCCCGGGCTGCAATTCTTTCGATCTTGCGGCACGCATGGTTGCGCAATGGGAAGCGTTGCTTTCCGATGGGATGGCCAGATCAGGTCTATGCGCGCTTTGGTTGTCGTGCTTATGGCGTTGCTATTCCAAACTGCCACTAGCTGATGTGCGAACAAGACCGGCAATGATGTTGACCCTAGTTCGAGGGGCAAGCACTTGTTTGATTGGAGGGCATCGCTGCGTATGTGCCAAGTGGATGTTGTCGTTGCGCCTGTCGCCTCATGCCTTTGTTCTCCCAAGGGGAAACAAATCTTGTTTTACATTTGGCATTGGAGTTGACATGTTTCATATCATGTGAATGACCCGTTGTTGATCCTGGTCCGCTACATGCATCTGAAAGATGAAAGGTCTCGCTGCGAAGCGGGCATTCTCGTTACATTTGAGGGCAGGATCCTGACATCCCAAAATCGCATGGAGAGCAGTCGGGCAACTAAAGTCACTGGTGGATCCCGTAACGCTGCGTAGGGCCTAAGGGCCGGGTTTGGGAGTCGCGGGCCTTAGCTAGGCCTCAGCTAGGCCTGGAAGTCGACCTATCAATATGATTGTTACGACCCGTCCTGTGCAGCAATTGCGAGAACCATAATTGTCTAGATTATATTCATATTTTTTATATTTATAAATAAAATATAAAAACTAAATATATTATTTATATTTTTTGTTGAATTTTTAATATTTATTGAATTTTTGAAAATAAATATATTTTATAGATAATTTTAAATTTATATTGAATAATATGTGTTTAAATTTAAACATAAATATTTGATTAATTAAATAAATATTAGAATTATAAAAATATAAAATATAAAATATTATAAATAGAAAAATATATAATATAAATTTAGAATGAAACATATTATAAATATTATTTATATTACAAAAAAATAATAATATATTGGATTATAATTATATATAAATGTAAAAAAATTATAGATATAATATATAATAAAATGAATAAAACAAATAATAAAGAATTGGGAACCTGAAACTAATTAAGAATTAGAAATAAAAATATAAGAATAATAGGTTTATTTGAGGCATAATGGTATTTTTTGGTTTTTAGTATGGATATATTTATTTTTATTTTGAATTATTTATATATTATTTATTTACATTTAGATATTTTTGCTTTTGGTTATAAATAAATAATTTATAGAATTATAAATAAAAAATAAAATTTTGAATGAACTTATATATATTTTATTTATATTTTTTTAATATATTTAAATTTATTTTGTATTATAGATGGTATAGATGGTTATTTGTTTATATTATGTTATATTTATTTGTTTTTTTTGTTTTTATATTTATTTGATTATATTTATATTTTTTTTTTTTTTAAAAAAATATTTTTTAATTATAATTAATATTGATTTTATAAATTAATATTAAATATATTTTACTAATTTTAGATATATTTTTGAATATATATAATATAATTATATGTTTTGATATTTTATTTATTATAATTTATTTTTATTTTTAAAAGATCACTTTATTTAAATTAAACATATGTATTTTTTAATTTTTTTTATTAATATAATAATAATAATAATATCGAATAATATTAAATTAATCTTAAATACAAATTTAATTTTTAATAATATTTAAATTTATAATATAACTAAATTAATATCGAATATATACTTAATATAACTCAAAATTAATTAAATTTTCATGAATTATATTTATTATTTTTTTGAAATATATATTTTATTATATTAATATTTTTAAAATTTAATATATATTATTTAATATTTATGTAAACACTATGCATAAAAAATATTTTTCAATAATTTAATAGTATTCTTAAATTTAATTAATTATATTTAATATAATTTTAAAATTTAATAATATATATATATTTTGTATAAATATTTGAAATTATATTTAAATAATAATTATGAAAAAAAAAAATCATTAAATTATGTTTGAATTTAATACAATATATTCTAGATTGATTTAAACTTATATATATAATTCTAAATTAATATAGAATATGTTTTAAATTCAGAAATACTATGAAATTTTAATAAGAATTATTATTTACATTTTTTTTTTAAATTGACATCATTATTTTTTTTTTATCGAAGATATATTATTTAAATTTAGAAATTTGTTTTTTATTTTTTAATTATTCAATATTTCAATTTGACAAATTGTATATAATTATTCTAAAATATTACCCAATTCAAAAACAAATTCCTCGAAACCGGTGCAACCCCGCAAAACCCCGCGCAACCCGGCTCTACCGAGCAGATTTGACCCCCTAAACCCGAAACCCTAAACCCGAGTGTACTTGATGCAATGTGATCCCTCCAATCGACTGGAGAGGCTGAAATGGTTACTTCTGGCGAGGGTTTATTTGGTTTGGGTTTTACAATGGTTTGGGTTTTATTGGTTTTGGTTTGGGTTTTACAATGCTTATTTAGTTTGGTTTTGATTTTTCTAAATAATAATTATATTATATATATATATATAATTTTGAATTAATATCGTTTTTTTTTTTTTTGATATTAAATATATTTATATATGTTTTTTTTTTTAAATATATATTGTGTTTTTTTTTGATATTAAGTTTTATATATAATTTTGAATTAATATCGAATATTTTTTAAACTCAGACATATTTTGGTGTAATTGAAAATATTTATTATTCAAATATAATTTTAAATTGATATCGAATATGTTTGATTAAATTCAAATATATTTTTCAATTTTTATAAATATATATTTGGTATATTAAATTTTAGATTTATATCGAATGAGTTTTATTAAACTCAATATATTATTAATTTTGTATTTTTGCTATAATAATAGTTTCAACAAATATTAAATAGTTATTATTCATATTAGAATTATTTTTGAATATTTAATGATATTTATTATTTCGTGTAAATTTTAATACCAATATATATTTTTATTGCACGTTGTATAGTCTACCTGGGAGTTCCTAAAAACGCCCTCCGTCAGTGGGAAAAACCTAGCTTCTATGTGTAAAAGGTGCCACCAAAGGATTGCAAAACATATCAGGCATGACACACTCCCCACACCAACAGGAAAACAAGTACAACATAAACTAAAACAAATGGGAGCTACTCATCATGGTTGCGAACAACGACCCTTTGGCTGAGACAGTTGGATTCTATCCCTTTGGCATTCTATGGCACGCTTGCCGGCACTCGGTCCAACCGAAAATTGATGCCAAAGCCTCGTTGGGGGACCCACCAGTGCTGATGTGGCTACTGCTGCCTCCACATCAGCCTCAAAAGGCGGCAAATATTCAGGGGGAAGACACTGCAGGTCTGACGTAGGTGTTTGCGCCTTTGTCAACACTGGAATGGTTTGTGATCAAGACATGTGTGTGTGTTCCACACATGTGGATACCACATTCAGAGTGGCCGTTTTGCTGAAGCCATTGTGTTGACAAGGTTGGCTTCGGTAACTGTAAGGATAATTCATTACAAAGGCCCATGTACTTTTCCCCAGAAAGGTAGCCTAGACAGCCAACCCTGGACTTCGCCACGCAGTGGTATGTTGCCCTTTCCAATAAACTGGGAAGATTGTCCTCGATTGACTACATTTGTTCTGAAATGGCACCGATCTTTCAACATGCACCCATATGTGATAATGAGCATTCGAACCCCGAATTTTGGAGGTTGCCAGATGCTTAATTGTTTCGGCCAGGCTTGAGCCAAACATTGTTACGGCCAAGGTGCTGAAAAAGTAGTGTCCATCAACCAAACATCAACCCCGAAAAGGCAGCCAGCAAATACGAGCACGCCTTGGTTGGACGAAAACAAACTCCAGATTTGCCAAAGCTCCAAAAGGGCTCCAAGAACCGGGTGCCAACTCGTCAGTGCATGCTACCACGAGCCAATGCTCACAAACCTTGCCGACAGCGAGGTTTGCCAGGCACCGAACTGCGAAGTACGAGAACTTGCTAGTTCTTAGCAAATGAGAAATGGAATGACCCCAAGAAAAACCGTCCAACTGGTGATTTCCTTCAAGGGGACCAAAGCGTGGGTTCATTCCTACGTTCCCTGCTGATCGCACCAGTGCAGGAAGCTCGATAATTTTGACTGGGAAGCTCGTCTTTCTGTTTCCGCCAATCCAGTGGCGCATCCGTACAAGCTCTTCCAGAACATTGGGAATTTTGTGTTGAAAACCCTAGCCGAATCCTGCCCTGCGTCCTGAACTTTCTAACTAGACT